ACTCATTCTGCATCTTGCTCATTTCTCCAGTGCTGAGTCGGCCAAGCAGTATTTTCAAGTCTGTCAGCTGCCAGGTCCTTCAGGCACAGGATGACTGGTTTCTGAAACAAACACACATTAATTGCATGCTTTTATCTTGCCCCAATTTTAAAATATTTTTTCCCAAGCATAACTAACTTTACTTGGCAAGAGTACGAGCACAACTGTCCTGGTAAGAAGATGGTCAGCTATTATCTGGATGATGCCTTTATCTAGCATGTCTCCTTCCTTAGAAGGCCTTTTGAAAAGACAGAAATTTCAAGCTGTCTCAAATCACTACTAAACAGAAGAGTTTGTTTCCTAGATGTCTTAAAAAAAATTGAAAAAAGACAAAAAAAAGGCAGCATTCCTTCAATGCAGGAAATGTAAATATTCAGATAATTTCTGAACTTAATGCTGCAAGCAACACCAAACCAAGCACATGAATACACTATTTCTTTCACTAAAATAAAGCCCATTTGTGCATTTTGAACAATGAGAAAGCTTTCATTTCATCAATGAAACGCGCCTTTGTAGGAAATACATTATCCATGCCACAACGGGTTGCCGCCTCTTTTGAGTGTAATTCCTTTTCTAAAGGAAAAATGTGTTGGTTTTTTTTTTTAAAAGTCAGCCATCTACTTGAAAATGAAACAAATGTACAATTAGTATCCTAGGAGACTAATATGTGTAGCAAACCTTCCATTTAAGTTTCCTTACACGCTCATTCAGCAAAGGCCATTAGAATTTAACATAAAGTGTATCACTTCAGTAAATACTGCAAGACATAACTAGGCCATTACATAAAGGAATAACTTTTTATGTATAAAAAGCAGGCATATGTAAAAGAGTTCCAAGAAGTTAGGTGGTAAGTTTATGATTCATTAGGAGTAGTCAGCATGGACACACCAAGGGGAAGTCATGCTCCAGCAGCTTGATGAACTTCCATGGTGAAATGACTGGCTGGTAGATGAGGTGGAGCAGTGGACATTGCATACCTTCAGCAAGGCCTTAGACACTGTCTCCTGTAAGATCCTCATAGACAAGCTGTTGATGTATGGGTGGGATGAACAGACAGTGAGGTGGACTGAAAACTGGCTGAATGGCCAGGCCCAGGGGATGGTGATCAGTGGAACAAAGTCTAATTAGAAGTCAGTAACAAGCAGTGTACCCCAGGGGTCAATCCTGTGTCCAGTCCTGTTCAACATCTTCATTAATGATCTGGATGATGGGGCAGAACATACCCTCAGCAAGGCCGCAGATGACACAAAACCGGAAGGAAGGGCTGATAACACCAGAGGGTGATGCTGCCATTCACAGGGACCTCCGCAGGCTGGAGAAATGGGCAGACAGTAACCTCATTAAGTTCAACAAGGATAAGCACAAAGCTCTGCACCTCTGGAGGAAGAATCCCGTAACACAGATATATGCTGGGGCCAGCCAGCTGGAAAACACCTTTGCAGAAAAGGACCTAGGGTCCTGGTAGACACAAAGTTGAACATGAGCCAGCAGCGTGCTCTTGCCACAAAGAAGGCTAAATAGTATCATGTGCTGCATTAGGCAAAGTATCGCCAGCAGGTTGATGGAGATGATCCTTCCCTTCTACTAAGCACAGGAGCGTGTCCAGTTCTGAGCTACTTAGTATATGAGAGACAGACATACATGACAGTCCAACAAAGGGCCAAAAAGATGATTAAGGGACTGGAGAATCTCTCCTATGAAGAAAGGCAGAAGTAGCTGGAACTGCTTAGCCTAGAGAAGAAAAGTCTCAGGGGGTACCCGTGACAGGACAAGAGGGAATGGACACAAACTGAAACACCGGAGGTTCCGTCTGAACATAAGGAAATACATTTTTTACTGTGAGGATGACTGAGCACTGGAACAGGTTGCCCATAGAGGTGGAGTCTCCTTCCTTGGAGATACTCTGGACATGGTTCTGTCCAACCAGGTCTAGGTGGCCCTGCTTGAGCAGGGGGGTTGGACAAGATGACCTCCACAGGTCCCTTCCAACCTCAACCATTCTCTGATTCTGTAAAGAAATGAAAGCACAGAAGTTTTGAAAAAAAGGGAAAGTTTATTTATTTTAATATAAAAACATCATGAACTGCATAGAAATATTACTTCAGTCATCTTAAAATGTTACTCATCACATTAACACTTGGTAATTCCCAGTAATATGGCAAGAAACAAGACGGGCTAACAATTGTCTACGATGTATGTATTTACATTCAATTGAAGTTATGCATGCACAATAAGATTTTTAAATAAATCAAACGCACTGACCCCAAAAAAATCTGATTCAAGGTATATTTTAAATTTACATAAAGTACAAATAAAGTCTTCAAAACTTAAGTTCCTTGGATAAGACCAATTTTCATTTATTTAAATTTAAAGATAAGTTAGCTCCAAAAGTAGTAAGAAATGTAAACATCAGATACCATGATAAAAATCTTAAGGAATAACAACTTTGTCATAAAGTGCTGGCATATGCTTTCAGCTTTAGTTTCCAGATGTTTAAAAACAGAATACTAATGTTGTAATTTCAGTTTAGTAATATTTTTGCAGAATTTTTAAATTTTAAAGTTTTATAAACATTCTTTTCTACCTTTATCCATTACAGCTTTTTGACATGTTCTTATTTATCTTAAGTGAACTTTAACTTCTGAGTATGTATAAAAATACTATTTCATATTTTTAATTTACCCAGTTCAAATTACACTCTATGCTGGTGAAAAAACCCAAAAGGTTAGATAAGACTACAACTGGGAAAAGCCAAAGATTGAAAAGTAAGGGTATAAGGTACCTGAACACAATCCAACAACTGCCTCCAGCACAGCCATTTTATAATTGTATATATTATCAGTATCACTGAAAAAAGTTACATGAGAATTAATACATAGAGGAGACTCGGTGTGGTTCATTTATACCTAGGCATCTGAGCTTCATCCATGCTGCATATATCCATTACTTCATTTCACATGATATTAAGTCTTGGAAAAGTTTTACTTCTGTTGCATCTGAACCCTGTATGAGGGGATCACTACTAGCTGTCTGTACTTAGGGTGTCAAAGGGCTGCACCGGAGCAACCACGAAGCAAAATACTGATTTTGAATGCACTGACTGGATGCACATAGGCAACACTATCCTTATAAGGCTGTACCCTGGCTGGGGGCAGGTGAAGCAATTCATTAATACAGTGAAGTCCTTCCCAGCCAAGGACACTTGACTGTATTCACTTCCGTATCCTTATTATAAGAAGTAAGGCATGCAGCATAATGGGCACTAGGTCATCATTATATTCGCATGATACTGTTTGGGTTGTTGCTCTAGCTGCGATTTGTTGTATGCTGATAGTAATTGCGAATTGTGCCAATCTAACTCTTCAATTAAAACTTTTGTTAAGACAGATAACCTCTGGGCCTAACATTTCTTATTCACAAGTCAGAAATGATGACAACTAATCTAATATGGTAGGATAGGATAAATAAATTAGATCAGGTGAAAGTAAGATAGGCGAGGTGGAACAATGAATTAGATCTAAGTTGTCTATCAGAAATATCACCTCCCCTTTCTGAAATCTAAGCGACATGATTTCCATTTTTATTGGATCGTGAAAACTTCTGACAAACATAAGATGAAAAATAGTCTTACATGCCTTACACTTCAGTCAACTTCTCGCTTGTCAACGTTACTGTCACCCGAAATAAAGACAACAGTCCTGAATTCCCCCACGCATTATGGTGAAACCTTATATTGAAATCTATTTTTTAAAAAAAAAAAAAACCTGTTCCTTCCTTGTGCGAAGAAAGATAAAATGCAACCTTCTACCACTTATTATGTTCACCTCTCAGTGCCTAACTATTGACAAGTCCACAGGCACACCTGAAAAAGATTATCAGATTGTGATATTTTATTATACAAACCAAACGAAATCCAAGACAATTAAGTCTAAGCTCTGAGGAGTCGAAAATTCTAAAAGTATTTTAAAGTGCCAGTTGCTCTCAAAATTTTTATAAGAGTTTTAATACATTCTCTACACAAAAAGACTTATGATTAGGATTTTATCTTGTCAGTATTAGTTTCAGGCTGTTATGGCATGATTGGTATTTGCTCTAAGTCAAAACTTGACATAGGCATTATTTCCTCAGAGCCTAGAAACAGGAAGTGGAAGGGATACAACTTAAAAAACCAAACCAACTAAACAAGCCCAATTTAAGGCTTAAAACAATTATTAGGTAGTTTAACTACTAACACGCTGCAGTCCATTTCTCAGAGCGGGCATGAAGCTAAATTATTATGGATGACAATAACTGACAAAAAGATGCACTGCACTTCTACAGTAGAGGGGCATAATGAAAAGCTTTTAATTGCAGCTTCACTGGCAAAAATGGTTATTTTCAGTTTATTCAGTTATTACTTTTAACTCTAACGAAGCTTTTTGTTTTGGGGTTTTGGGTAGTTTAGTTGTGGGGTTTTTTCGTTTGGCTGTTTTTTTTTAAGATGAGGAATAGGTCCCACCAGGTAGACAATACTATTTCAGAAGTTTGATGAAAGCAAACTAACAAGTGTATCAAGTATTTACATCAGCATAAGACCCTCATCCTCTTCAAATATAACTTACTGATAAGAAGCAAAGGACCACTAACGCAAGGACTGACAGGCTACCTGTTTTCTATACGGGCATTCCAGAGATCCAACACAGGAAAAACACACATTATAATCCCTAAGCAGACCAGATCTATTAAGGCAGAAACACTTCCTCAACTACTAATGATCCTAGAGAGAAAGCAGTTTTCCAAACAGCCCCAACACATGTATCATAGTCCCAAAACATACCAACTTTAGCTTCCATTTAAAGCAATGAGAATGGTCACAAAGAAGCCCAGTAAGACACCTAGATTCAGCTTCCCTGCTTAGACCAATTGCTTATTAAGGCTAGTCATAAAAATGTGCACGTATTCAACCACTGTTTGGCAAAGCTTGAGTTTAAACTCACCTTCAGGTTTTAATTTGTTCACTCTGGCATAATTTTGGACTAAAACTTGAAAAGTGCAAAAATATTTAATTATCTCTTCTTAAAAAAAATAATTCATTTTATTGGTGCAACAATCCCAATTTCTCAGGAGTTAAATCCATTGCCAGCAATGGATAGAAAAGGAAGTACCAGCATAAAAGAATCAAAGTGCATTTCCAGTATGCCAATGCTGCATAAATTGGCAAGCCATAATCTTATATTCACTACTGAAATAGATTATGCCAAATTAATTTTATAAAAGTCTATATTACACATTAACATACAAAGTCTGTCATGAAGTCTTGGGGATACTGCAATGAATCATCAAAACGGAAACGTTTGGAGACTGTACTGCTGTCCTCTGGAATGTTTTCTTTGTCTTCCTTGTTGCTACAGGTACCATTACAACTGGATTTTACACTCCGCTCTTCTGAGCATTTTGTTGTGTGTCCTGGCATCAGAGAAGAGCTGCAAGTTTCTTCAGGGCTACACAAGAGTATATAGTCCCCTTGCTGCAACCACAAATGAGAAAGACAGGCCTCTGCTGTGGGTCTTTCCCTTTGAAAGAGAAAAGGGTAAAGTTGCTTAAGTTGATTTCAGAAATACTGGCAATATAATTAAAATAGCTCTGACACATGCTGAGAAATTTTAAGCAGAATTGACACGAAAAAGTTAATATTTTTGTTTTTCCACCACTACCACTGCTGCTAAAAAACACATCAGACCCTACCATAGTTAAGGTTAAATATTGGCAACATGCACCTAAATTTTAGTTGACAGCTTCCCCTACTGCTGAGTGTCAGAAAGGTAAGCTTTTTATCAGAACAAGGAACAGGTATTTCTCAACCAGTATTAATAGTCCCTTGGAATGTTTTCAACATTGTATATATATATATGTGCACATGCTTATGCTTTTGAAGTCCTATGCTTTATACAGACTATTGTAAACAGGGAGGCTAATGAATATTCAGTCTTTAGGTTTTCAAGAAGGGCCAAATAACACGGTGTCAACAACTCTATGGCATTTTGCAGTCTTTTACTCTTGCAATTCATGAAACTAGTGTAAACCCTTCCAAAATCTAGTTAATACTAAACAAACAACAGATTTCCAAAATTGTTCCTTTGCATAACCTACTATAGTGCTACTATAGTTTTCATCATGTTCTGTATTGTTAAGTTCATATAATTATAGAATGGTTTGACTTGGAAGGGACCTTAGAGATCATCTACTTCCAACCCCCCTACCATGGGCAGGGACACCTTACACTAGACCAGGTTGCTCAAAGCCCCATTCAACCTGGCCTTGAACGCTTCCAGGGATGGGGCCTCCACAGCTTCCCTGGGCAACCCATTCCAGTGTCGCACCACCCTCAAGAATAAAGAATTTCCTCCTAATATCTAATTTAAATCTACTCTCTTTCTGTTTAAAACCTTTACCCTCATCCTATTGCTACACACTCACTGATAAGGAGTCCGTCACCATCTTTCCTGTAGGCCCCCTTTAAGTACTGGAAGGCTGCTATAAGGTCTCCCGGGAGCCTTCTCTTTGCCAGGCTGAACAACCCCAACTCTCTCAGCTTGTCCTCATAGGAGAGGTGCTCCAACCCTCTGATCTTCTTCGTGGTTCTCCTCTGGACCCACTCCAACAGGTCCACATCCTTCTTATACTGGAGGCCCCAGAGCTGGATGCAGTACTTCAGGTGGGGTCTCACAGGAGCGTAGCAGAGGGGCAGAATCACCTCCCTCAACCTGCTGGCCACTCTTCTTTTGATGCAGCCCAGGACACAAGTTGGCTTTCTGGACTGCAGGCGTGCATTGCTGGCTCATGCTGAGCTTCACATCCACCAACACCTCTCCTCAGGGCTGCTCTCAATCCATTCTCCACCCAGCCTGTATTTGTGCTTTGCATTGCCCCAGTCCACGTGAAGGACCTTACACTTGGCCTGGTTGAACTTCATGAGGTTCGCACGGGCCCACCTCTCAAGCCTGTCCACATCCCTTTGGATGGCATGTTTTCCCTCCAGCGTGTTGACCGCACCACACAGCTTGGTGTTGTCAGCAAACTTGCTGAGGATGCACTCAACCCCACTGTCCATGTTGCTGAAAGATGTTAAACAGCGCTGGTCCCAATTCCGATCCCTAAGGAATGTCACTATTCATTGGTCTCCACTTGGACATCAAGCCATTGACCGCAACTCTGAGTGTGACCATCCAGCCAATTCCTTATCCACCCAAAGGTCCATCTGTCAAGTCTATGTGTCTCCAGTTTAGAGACAAGGACGTCATGTGGGACAGTGTCCAATGTTTGCACAAGGCCAGGTAGATGATGCCAGTTGCTCTTCCCTTATCCACCAATGCTGTAAACCCATTGTAGAAGGCCACCAAATTTGTCAGACACGATTTGCCCTTACTGAAGCTACGTTGGCTGTCACCAATCACCACTTCATTTTCTCTGTGCTTTTAGCATAGTTTCCAGGAAGATCTGCTCCATGACCTCGCCGGGCACAGAGGTGAGACTAATTGGCCTGTAGTTCTCCAGGTCTTCCTTTCTTCCCTTTTTAAAAATGGGAGCTATGTTTCCCTTTTCCAGTCAGCAGGCACTTCACTGGACTGCCACAACTTCTCAAATATGATGGATAGTGGCTTAGCAACTTCATCCGCCAAGGTCCCAAGGATGCATCTCATCAGGTCCCATGGGCTTGTGCACCTTAAAGTTCCTTAGACAGTCTCAAACCTGGTCGTCTCCTACAGTGGGTGGTTCTTCATTCTTCTAGTCCCTGCCTTTGTCTTCTGCAATGCAGGTGGTGTGGCTAGAGCACTTGCCAGGGAAGACTGAGGCAAAAAAGTCATTGGGTACCTCAGGATTTTCCATGTCCCAGGTAACCAGCCCTGCCATTTCGTTCCAGATAAGGCCCACATTTTCGCTAGTCTTCCTTTTATCACTGACATACCTGTAGAAACTTATCTTGTTGCTGTTGACATCCCTGGCCAGATTTAATTCTATCTGGGCTTTAGCTTTCGTAACCTGATCCTTGGCTGCTCAGATAATTTCTCCCAGGCTACCTGTCCTTGCTTCCACCCCTTGTCGGCTTCCTTTTTGTGCTCGAGTTTGTTCAAGAGCTCTTTGTTCATCCATGCAGGCCTCCTGGTGCTTTTGCTCTTTGTTGGGATGCATCGCCTCTGAGCTTGGAGGAGGTGATCCCTGAAAATATTAACCAGCTTTCTTGGGCCCCTGTTCCCTCCAGGGCTTCACCTCATGGTACTTTGCCTAGCAGATCCCTGAAAAGGCCAAAGTCTGCTCTCCTCTAGTCCAGGATAGTGAACATGCTCCTCACTGCCCTAAGGATCTTGAACTCCACCATTTTTCATGGTTACTGCAGCTGAGGCTACCCTTGAGCTTCACATTCCCCACTAGCCCCTCCTTGTTGGTGAGAACACGGTCCAGCACAGCATCTCTCCTACTGCAGCAGCAATAGCAGCACAGCACCTCTCTACTGCGTTTCCAGCAAGTGCTATGGAACTTGCTAGAAATGCAATAGAGCCCACTACTTGTTCTTAACTCTGCCAGAACACATAGATATTTTCTGGTCAGAGAACTGTAGCTTTACAGAGTTGACTATCTGAGGGCAGACTTTTCTTCTTAAGATTCAAGAAGGTATAGTCATCAAGAATTGGAATAAGGAAAAAGACCAAAAAAAGGTTATTGAAGGTATAATAAAGACTCAGAGATGTCCAGAAGCAAAAAAACAAGTAGAGTAGTAACTGTGACAGAACATCAAACATCCTGCAGGTCCACACTAACGTTTATCAAAGCAGGCTCTTCATAATTCCTTCACTTATGATACTATGGTGTTCATGAGTTATTCCACATATTGACAAACCCTCTATGTGAGATGCCAAAATAGAAAGGACTTGTTCATCGTTGATCCTGTCCAGACATGAGTTTGTATGGAGTCCTTATTTCATTGAGGTAGGCACTTCATTGATATCATCTCCTATTGTCCCCTTCTACCAAAGAATCGCTCAACCAAACAACAGGGTGACGACTGCTTAGTGAAGAAGACGACTGCTTAGTGAAGAAGACGGGGACTACATCGTCTCACCACAAATGATAATACATAGCGCTATAATTGATAATACCTGATCATGCCTAGTAGAACATGACTAACTGAATTTACTGAATATTATTCCCCCATATTTACTTTTTAGGGTGTTTTTCTTTCTTTTTTTTTTTGCTGTTGTTGTTTTGTTTTGGGTTTGTTGTGTTAGTTTTTTTTTTTTATTGCATGTGCTGGTGCAACAGTTCAAAAAAATTCCAGATTTAACACTATACAGGAAGCGCAGACACAGTTAATGTCTGTAATTCTACCACTCTCAAAGACTATCCTCTCAAAGTTCAGCTACTTTGAAAGCCTTCATTAAAGTCTGAACTCCCAAAGAATGCAAAGTTATGGAAATGTGCCTTACAAACAAAGTATTTTGTACTTTTCAGCGAGAACATTTTTTAAAAAAATTGAACATGGCAAACCACTATATATTTCTGAAGAATATATGTTCAGTCACAAGAGTGCCAAGTTTTTATATAAAATGTATTGAAGTAAAATGATACATTAAAGATAAGTCAGAAAACAAGAAAGTACTGCATCAAAAAGATCGCATTTTTCTCAGCAAATTGTGCAATGGCGTTAAATTATAGACAAGAATGTGACCTTTCTAGAATGTATTTAATCAGACTTCTTAATAATCTGTCCTCTGAATGAAAATATAAAGAAACTCAAAGCACAAGCCTGACTACAATAATAGTCAGACAGTGAACCAAAAGATCCTTTTCATACATTATGGAAAAGCATAGACCTACACTTTTAAATATCCAGCTGATAATACCAATGCATTGCAAAATGTCTGACTGATCATATCAATGGTATTAAGCTCCCGAATTAAAATTCACTTTTTCTAGGTGTTCCACAAACATAAAAGATAATATTCTTGCCTGGAAGAGCTTGTTACTTACTCTGGATTTTTAATGAGAAGTTTTTGAATGAAGTCTTTGGCAGGCTGTGAAACTGATGAAAATGTTTCTTCTGAATAATCCACGTTAACTTGAGATATATTAAGGTAAGTTTCTTGATTATCAGCTCCCACAAATGGAGATTCTTGTGTTAGCAGCATGTATGAAATTACACCTATGTTCCTGAGATAAGAACACAATATATAGTCCTACTAGGATACCTAAACAATATAACCCCATATTTATTGTCATACAGATCAAACTTCCTGATCTATACCACACTCAAAGAATTAAAAACATCACATGACGTCACACTTCTATGTGATACAAGCATGTATGCACATGCACACACAAGGAAAGCTATGTATATATCTCAATGAAGTGATTTTTGAAAATTGCTTACTTTCAATATACCCCCTTTTCTTCCCATTGAAATTGTTAGCAAAATTAAATATATCACTTCTACACAGCCCTTGCTTGGACATATGGCAATTCTGGATGATAGAACTGCAAAATAATAGACTTTCTAATTTGCATGTAAATAAAAACACATCCTTCACTACAATTCTGGATGAAGTATCAAAGACTGAGATTTAGTCCACCTCTCTGTACAATCGACATGTCTTACAATATCCCCTTCCTGAGATAGTTTTCCCTAAGGACATGAATGCAAGTACCACACATCACGTGACTTACTAGAAGTCTTAGGTTGTTTTCTGACACATAATAAAAATGGTTTTGTGATCTGATAGATCAAACTTTAGTACACATTACAGCGTGGAAACATGCTGCTGTGTTTGTCATTCTGAGTAGAGCATCAATAGTTTGTTTTTATGCCTTCCCACAAAAGCAGACAAATAGTAAATGGTTAAAAAACATTCACTAACAGATTTAATTCCTATTACAAGTTGAGAATTTCAAAGCAGTAATTAGATCATAGCAACTTTAAAACTTAATTTTAATTATTTAGATGCCTAAGAGCATATGAATATTTTATGTTTTTAAGGAAACATCCCAAAGCCAGCCTTTACACTAACATAGCTTATGAAATTAATAGGCTACAAAGGTATACTTAATAAAGTTGTAGATTAGTTTAAGGTACTTGTCTCATTTTTTATGACTCGTTCTGTATATATTGCTCTAAAGATAAGAAGCAGAAAGTTAAAATACTTATCACTGGTATAATACAATTATTTAATGATACAAGAGTGGGTAGGGAGGAGTGTCCAAGAGTACTTAATACCTGATTCGTGTCATCCAAGAGTAACAATACCTAAAATATGCTATCCAATCATTGCTATTGTTCCCTTAGAACACACACCTATACTCCGCGAGCTCAGAAGCCACCTGCATTCCCTACTAGGTGTGCAACAGACCCATATACAGTAATTCCTGTAAGCCCCGATTTATATCCTGAGGGCTCCTTCCCCTCCCAACTCTCCCTCTTTGGGAAGCCCACCAACAGAAGGGTATTCTTGGAAGCAGGATAAAACTGCATCAGAATCTGGATCTGGCCCCTACATTGTTAAGTGGTCATCAACAGAATGAATTAAGATAGACAACCTACCACATATCTGTAGCAGTGGTAATAGGATCGTAGTTTAAGATTTCTGGAGCTAGAGAAAGAGATGGGGAGAAGAAAAACACTTTAATAGATGTATTTTTCAGTGGCCTTGAATCATGCACTATGTTTCTAGCGTTTTTTTGCCAACCATTATTATGAGACTAAACATGCAGTTTCAATAATCAAGTTTATTATTTTCAAGCCACAAGAGGGGAAAAAAGGTTATTTCCATTTGATTAGGCACACTGATGCTTAACTGGTTCACACTAAAATGGCACTATATGCCCTAAAGTCTATTCTATCCAAGCCCCAAGGTATTTTCTAATCAGTATAGAGCTTTTTAAGGGGAACGCATAAAGGCTTCAGCATATTAACACTGCAAGGCCAAGTGACCAAGGCAATTTTAGGATCAGTGGCTGTATCAGTATGCTATATAGCAAGTTATTGACTACAGATTGAAGTGCTCTTAAAATGGAGTGTAGGCAGATCATTAAGGAAACCTGCCCCTTGGAGAAGGCCAAGTGTTAATGGCAATCTTTCCCTTCCTGAGGAATATTTTAATCTCATTAAATCATCATACTAGACAGCATTCCTAATTCAAAGAACATTTCTTTGTGCATCCTAATGTTGTATTTCAACTCTAATCAAAAGAATTTAGCAGCCAAAATTTCTTGTTGATTTAACAGTGTGCATCACAGCAAATACTATAGCATGAAATTAGAGGTGTGCTTATCAATATAATTTGGGATTTTTTTGGTGCAAATATTTGACTACTCTAATAACAAAACATGCTGCCTTGTCCTGTTGTTCTTTCTCCGGTAACGACTGATAAGCTGATAAGCACATTACATGAACTGTTTCTGTTTTCTCAAAACCACACATCAGAAATCGTGACACAATTCTTCCATACCTAGATACTCTGTTGTTCCCATGATCTGCCGCAGTTCACTAGAATTCTCAAGCTTCCGAGACATACCAAAATCTACAATTTTTACATCACCAAGAGGATTAACGCTGCTTAGCAAAATATTTTGAGGCTAGAATAGAAAAGATTTAATTCTCAATTAATAAAATATAAGCTGCAAAAGATCCCAATGTACTAAATGACATTTCACTTTCTACTATGCAATACTTATTGCTAAATTTTATTTTTAAAAATTATTTAATCTCTAATACACACCTTTTTCTCCTCATCTTTGTTATGCATTTAACAAATGACTTTGATAATCGTAATATTAAACTGAAGATAAAGTACGAAAATAAAAAGTCTGCTGCAGCCTCACCTTTAAATCAAGATGAACAATATTGTTTTCATGCAAGCAGCAAAGTCCTTCAAGTATTTGTCTTATAAGCCTTATAATATCCCTTTCACTGATTTTGTCATCCAGATCTGGGACACATAAGTCAAATATTTCTCCTCCAGCAGCACTGAAACACATTTAAGGACACTTATGTATTAAGTTTGAATTTTCAAGCTTAAGTAAGGAAAAGTTCTATATACAGTACATGTTAATTTATTATATTCTCAGAGAGGCTGGGAATATCGTTATTATTACTTTTTTTTTTTCCTTTTACATACACTTATGCCAAGACACATCATATAAGCACTTAGAAAAAAATAAATCTGATGATGCTTTTTCTTTCCTCATAGCTGGCAACACCAGTTAAGACAGTGTAATAGAACTTCGTGGCTGAAAACCTCACAATGCTTTGGTACTCTCAAGCACACTTTCCTGTAAGCAAGAGTGAAGATGCCTTCAGGAAGATGAGTTCTATCATCATTCCCTAACAGAAGGAGCCTTTCTCTTCAAGTCAAATCTAAATTTTTTTTCCATTAGACCAGTTCCATAAATAATTCAAAGCAACATATTTCCCCACCCCACCCCCCCATGATGTGACTTTCGTTTAAGTGTAAGAACTACAATGCAATGAACAGCTACAGTTGCTGAAGAGTATTTCTGGAGCAGGAGGAAACTGCATACTTGCCATCCTAGGTCATGCCATTCTGATGGAAGACTGAAAATCAGGTATTTCTATTAGAGAGGTACCAGGAAGAAAATGTAGCATGCTGCTGCTGATTATATACATATACAGTGGCCTAGTCAGTTAGCAAGCAGTATCTTCCAGAACTGAAGTAGACACAGAATATTCAGAAATACAAGGACACAGTTCTGTCACTTTGCAATCTACCATTTCTACACTAACAACAAAGATGAGATTGACAAGCTTCATGTTTTCACACAGCCTCTCAAATACATCTTCCTGAGAAAAAGGCTGTTGTTTACTTACAGAAAATCCTACTATTAGTACAGCATAAAGGAAGCATGGAAATAACCATGCTGAGTGTAGTTTATTAGTTCTACACTTTGCCAGTCTTGTTTCCTTTTGTGCTGGGTTTGAAATCATTATTCAGCCTGTTCTAACTGCCTGAAGTTTCTCTCTCTTAAGGATAAAGAGCTACCTCAAAATGACAGATCCATAAACTTGAATTTCATCATTAGCAAAACGCTGAGTCTATAAAAAAAGTTAGATAACGGACAACATGGATAAACAGTCACTATCCTGCTGGAGCGATGTGAGGTGTCAGTAATGCCTCCCCTCATTGCCTTTATGACAAAACGTAGATGAGGCAAAGAGCAGTGGATGTCATTTACTTCAACTTTAACAAGGTTTTCAACACCGTCTCCCGTAGTATTCTTGTATCCAAGTTACTACATTATGGTCTGGATGGGTGGACAACCAGATGGGTAAAGAGCTGAACAGCTGTGCTGAAAAGGATTTGGGAGTCCTCACAGACAGCGAGCTGAATGCAGCAAAGCAACTCAGGAGCAAGTTGGGCTGTAATAAGAGGGGCACAGCCAGTAGGCTGAGGCAGGTGACTCTACCTAGCATGCTAGACCACAGCTGGAATGCAGCACTCTGTTTTTGACTCCCCAGTTCAAGGAAGACATTAATAAGCAAGTTCAGCACCAACTGAGAATGTGAGTAAGGTCACCAGATGACCCGTAGCATACATAAACATAAGACATCATCAGAAAAATAATCTAATAGAATCCTACACAATGCCAAACTTTGAACCGGCAAGTACAGCTCAGGAAATTCTGATTGACAGTCCTTTGAAATAATTGGACCAATGTGCAGAGCAGCCAAAACAAAAGCCAACCTACATGGCTATCATCAGGAAGGCTACTGAGAACAAGAAGTAGCAAAATGATGCTCAGTATAAGATCTTAGCATGTAGTTCTGGCTTCTGTATCTTCAAGAAGCATGTAAGATTAGTGGAGACACAGAGAAGGGCAGAGAGGACAGACAGTTGCTTTACAACAAGAAACCAGAGAGACACTGACTCTTCAGTTTGGATAGAAGATCGAGGGGGAAGTCTATGTATGAGGCTTACAAAAACTAAAGCTGCTTTAGAGATAAAGAACGAACTGTTATTCACCAAATCCCACAATATGAGAATTAGGAAGCACCCGATTAAACTAGCTGATTAGTTAAAAACCGGTAAAAAAGTATTGCTTCACACAGTAGGTAATGAACATCTGGAGTTTATTCCACCGAAGTAGATAGGATCATCATGTTCAAAAAAGGACAAACAGATTCACAGACTATAGATCCATAAACAGACACTAAAAGGAACACACAGAGAGGTATCGAGGTATCCTCAGTAAAATACCTCTGGTTGCTGGGAAAGTGCAAAGAGAATGGACAGCAAGAAGTAGACAGGCTCATAGGCTCCTTAGCTCTTCCTAAACAGCATCTCCCTACAGCCACTGCTGGAAACGGCAGCGGATTAGACAGACCACTGATGCAACTCCGTAGGGCCTTCCTTAGTTCTTCAATGAACAAAACTAAATAGATTTGAAAATTAGTACAGCTGCCTGGCACAGCTGTAAAATGAATTAATACAGCTGTCAGGTTTCTCTCTGAATAACTGGATCCCTCCAATTACCCTTGACCCTCAAATTAGAAGAGTAACAACCTCTGTTGTAGGGCTTTTGAAGAAGTATTCATGTCTTTAGTAATTCCCTCCACAGAGATGGCCTTATGAATTAGCATCCGCTTCTGTCCTTTATTTAGAAAATGTGTGCTTACACAAACTGATTCTTACTACTACATCTTTCAGAGAAACCAGTCCAACAACAGCGAGGACCATATGTAGGAGGAAAAATACAGCTACACAGGAAATGCTTAAAAAATATTTTGAGTAAGAAACTTGTTTCTTGCAATTCTTTTAAAGTACTGCTTCAGAGTTCTGATAATGAGACACAAACAAAAACACCTGCTTATTCTGCTACTGAAGGATATAATTTAGAAGCATAATCAGCCCTCTGCTTATCCCAATAGAATTAGGAACACTTACTGCAAGACTTCTGAACACTACTACAAAGTAGACCATTTACACCAATGTAGTACAAGGGACTTGTTTATTAATGCTCTGTAATGAAACAAGACTAAGACAGCTGACCTGAAACAGAAGCAGTAATGTCAGTATGGCTTTTATGTGAATTTGCACTTGTTCTTGATAAGAAGTTCAAAACTTGTCATCTGGACTTGTCTTTACTTCTACATTATTTATTATTTTAGCCTTCTCAGAACAACAAATAATATGCTAGGGATCATCTAGTTCCAGGAAGAAAAGCTTTTTTTAAGATTATCTAACTACATTAGGAAAATTTGAAGGAATTTATCATGGTGTGTGCAGTCCACTGTTAACAGCTCTTCAAATACTTTGCACATGAAACTTAAATTCTAGAGAGAGACTTTCTGAATTAGTTTCACAAACTACATTTTTGTTCCTTGCATTCCAAACAGAAATTTACACATACACCAAGTATGATAGATAATTCAAATTAAATTCCCCAATCAGACTTGCTTTTAGAGCTAACAAGAAGCCACAGGGGCATCTAAAAAGAAATGGGAATTTTGGAGGAAACAGCTCCAAAAGCCAAACAGTTTTAAAACAACAAACCCACTAAATTTAGAAGCTCAGAACCCGCAAGTGAATTGCAAGGTTTCAGTCATCAAAAAGCATCAAGCCGTGACTGAAGTTCACAGAACATGGACACGCTCTGCTTCTCTGAAATCTGTGTACTTGGTATCAATGGCTACTTTTTGGGCAGGTATGATTTAAGATGCATCAAAGCACTGTGCACTTTCTATAGGATTCAAGAACATTCTCTCCGCTCAGCTTGCATGAAAGATTCTTTGAGGGAAAAAAAAAAAAATAAATGTACACCTTAGACTTTGTATTCAGGTTTTATATTAGATTAGACTGACCTGAAAATCGATCAGAGCTTTTTTACAAAAATCCAACTAGCAGAAGAAACAATCTGCTCTAATTAAACAGGCAAGCTTCAATCAAAATTACCCCCCTGAGATAGTATTTAAAGGCACAAAAAATATTTCAGTTTGAAATTGAGTGGAATTGTCTATGAAACCGAGTTATGCAGTGGGAAGAAAGAAGTATCTCTTTTTTCATAGCTTTTAGTAAAAAAAAATAAAATCTTTCAGTACATTTTTTAAAGTTTTGTGTACAGAAATACTATAGGTTTCTATGTATTTTGTTTAATGCCTTATTTATTGTTATTGTTTGCAATAACTCATTAGCTTTAGATGTAACAACACACACATACAAACCCAAAGATTCAAATTAACAGCAATTGATTCAACTCTTGCATTTACACGAAAATAAATCATACCAAAAAAGTCCTAAGAGCTTATAAAGTATATCGTGTTAGCATAATGTATATAGCACACTGTTGTAATTCTTCCGGGTGTTCAGGCAACTCCTGCAAAAAATGAGTATATTGACAGATTTGTAACTACAAACATGGGACATTTGATGAAGGCATACTTACTATTCCAACACTAAGATGATTTCATTTGCTGTTTCATAGACTTCGTGGAGATTAACTATACGAGGATTAGATTTCATTAATTCAAGTACGGCAACTTCATGAAGAATCTCTGCTTTGCAGTCTTGACCTCTTCTTCTTTTCTTCAAAAATTTAGCTGCATACTCTTGGCCTGTGGATTTAGCTATACATTTTCTAACCACAGCACATCTTCCTCTACAAAATAAAAGGGAAAACATTAAGACCCAAGACATAAAAAGTAAGTAAATTGCCATTCGAAATAAAAAGGCATAGCAAATAATTGGAAACTAAAAAAAATTTAAAAATTATCAGGGTAATGCTATGTTTGGCCTGTTCTTACACTATTCCCTGAACGTTCACTTTCAGCCACTGTAAGAGAAATGATACTAAGCTAGATGAAGTTTTGTGGAGACCCAGTACAATTCCTTTTATACAGACTAGCTAAGCATTAAATCAGAGTATCAGGTTACATAGACATTCCTACTGTAGGATCATAGGATAACTCAGGTTAGAAGGCACAACAAAGTATCCCAACAACGAAGAAGCTGGGCTAAAAAGCCAGGAGGTCTGCATGGATGAACAAGGAGCTCTTGAACAAACTCAAAAGCAAAAAGGAGGCGTATAGAGGGTGGAAGCAAGGACAGGTAGCCTGGGAGGAATACAGAGAAACTGCCCGAGCAGCCAGGGATCAGGTTAGGAAAGCTAAAGCCCAGATAGAATTAAATCTGGCCAGGGACATCAGAGGCAACAAGAAAAACTTCTACAAATATGTCAGTGATAAAAGGAAGACTAGGGAAGATATGGGCCCTCTCCGGAACAAAACGGGAGACCTGGTCACCCAGGATATGGAGAGGGCTGAGGTACTCAATGACTTTTTTGCCTCAGTCTTCACCAGCAAGTGCTCTAGCCACACCATCCAAGTCACAGAAGGCAAAGACAGTGGCTATGAGAATGAAGAATCACCCACTGTAGGTGAAGATCAAGTATGAGACCATCTAAGAAACCTGAAAGTGCACAAGTCCATGGGACCTGATGAGATTCATCTGTGGGTCCCAAGAGAACTGTCGGATTAAGTTGCTAAGCCACTATCCATCCATATTTGAGAAGTTGTAGCAGTCCAGTAAAGTTGCCACTAATTAGAAAAGGGGAAACATAGCTCCCATTTTCAAAAAGGGAAGAAAGGAAGACCTGGAGAACTACAGGCCAGTTAGTCTCACCTCTGTGCCCTCGCAATGTGCACTCACAGCCCGGAAAGCCAACTGTGTCCTAGGCTGCATCAAAAGAAGTGTGACCAGCAGGTCGAGGGAGGTGATCCTGCCCCTCTATTCCACTCTCATGAGACCCCATCTGGAGTATGGCATCCAGCTTTGGAGTCCTCAGTACAAGAAGGACGTGGACCTGTTGGAGCAGGTCCAGAATAGGGTGACAAAGATGATCAGAGGGCTGGAGTACCTCTCCTATGAGGACAGGCTGAGAGAGTTGGGGTTGTTCAGCCTGGAGAAGAGAAGGCTCCAGGTAGACCTTATAGCAGCCTTCCAGTATCTGAAGGGGGCCTACAAGAAAGCTGGAGAGGGACTTATTGCAAGGGCAGGTAGCGATAGGACAAGGGGGAATGGTTTCACACTGGAAGAGGGTAGATTTAGATTCGATACTAGGAAGAAATTTTTCACTGTGAGGGTGGTGCGACACTGGAACAGGCTGCCCAGGGAAGCTGTACATGCCCTATCCCCTAGAGGTGTTCAAGACCAGGCTGGATGGGGCTTTGAGCAACCTGGTCTAGTGGGAGGTGTCCCTGCCCACAGCAGGAGGGTTGGAACTAGATGGTCTTTAAGGTCCCTTCCAACCTAAACCATTCTATGATTCCATGACTTCTGGAGGTCTCTAACAAAATCCCCTGCTTATACTAGGGCCAGCTATGAGATCCTACCAGGCTGCTCAGGGCTTTGTTGAGGTTGGCAATATTCTATTAAAAAAACCCTCAACCAAATTATAGCACCTACAGGATACAGTAATAAACAAAGCAAAACCCTGTGAAATGTAGAGAACAAACACAGAAAATAAAGCATATTTGTATATTG